CTACTATAGTAGTAGTAGAAGACGACGTACGAAACTAAGGTACCGGCCGACGACGTGAGTACGTATGTCGTCGTAGGTACGACTACTCTCTCTCTCTCTCTCTCTCTCTCTCTCTCTCTCTCATGGGCCAAAGCAATCTTTATCGTGTAATTGACATGGTGCTTGATCATAATTATATCTCTCTCTCTCTCTCTCTCATGGGCCTAAGTAATCTTTATCGTGTAATTGTAATTGACATGGTGGTTGATCCTAATTATATCGAGTGGCATTTGGGTGGGGTTGAGAATTTTCGGTTCGGGTTTGGATCCACTTAGATTTAAATCTAGATCCAAATAATATGCATGAGATCCAAATTTGAATCTGATCGGATCTAGAATGTTCAAATCCAGATTGGGATCTGAAAACTATATACATAGGATACAGATTAAGTCTTCTAAAATTTTAAAAAATTACATATAAGTTAATGGAGTAATGATCCTATAGGTCCCTCCCCCACCCATGTGTGTAGGACTCCAATGAATCACCATTAAAGTTGACAATGATTTCTAAAAAATTCTTACATGAGCGTGGGACTTGATTTTTCCATAGATCTGTGTTAAATTTAATGACGTCATTTGGGATCCTACACACATGGGTTGGGGAGGGTCCTAGATCATTTTTCAAATTAATAAGTACAAAACTATATATATAAAATAATATATATACCAAAAAATAGTGCCCTGCAGGTTCTTGCCCATGAATCCATTGGTGGATCGTTAATGCTCTCGGCCTTCAAGGGTATCATACATCTCTACGTTCTTGCTCATGAATCCGCTCGTGGATGGCTAAGGCTCTAGGCCTTCAAGGGTATCATAATCTCTCTCTTTCTCTCTAAAATGGGCCAAAGCAATCTTTATCATTTAATCAACATGGTGATTCATTATAATTATATCAAGTGGCATTCGAGTAGGGTTGAGAATTTCTTGGTTTGGGTCAGGATCTATCTAAATCTAGATCTGAATACTATACATGGGATTTGAATCCAGATTTGATTGGATCCAAAATGTTCAGATCTAAATTCGGATTACGATTAGGTCTTCTAATTTTTTTTACAAAAATATTTGATGTTAAAAGTATTTACATATTTTTCTTGAAAAAATATTTACGCACGACCAAACGTGCCGTTGGAGAAAAGCCCACTCCCACTCACACACAAATTTCCAGGAAAAAGCATGACTTCCAAAGCAAATACGTCTTCATGCCATGCCACAAGAAAGCATGACTTTCATAACCTCTTTGACTAAGCCACAAAGTAATAAAGATAAGAAAATTTAGAGAGAGAGAGAGAGAGAGGCGCTTAGTTGTTAGATTACGACCATTAGGAATGACGTGGTTGAGAGAGAGAGAGGGTGATAATAACTTTTGAAGGGAAGGGAGATAGAATGAGGATTAAGTAGATAGAATAAATGCAAAAATATAACACGACTTAAACAAACAGTGAGAGAGAGTGTGGAGCGCCCGCCCATTATGTTCAATATTGAGATTTATATTAGGAAAAAGCTCGAAATCTTAAAACGTAGAATTAAATATGCACCTCAAAAATCTATCGGACAAGGTTGTTTTTAAAGTCAAAAAAATCCTCTAATTGATAATCTTGACATCGAGATATATGAATATGAAAAAAAAAAAGAAAAAAAAAGATTTTGAGTATTAAAAATTATTTAGACTGTCAATTTTCAAGATTTTCATATATTTATAAATCTATTTGATTTTAACTATTTTGTAAAATTTAAAATTTTATAATTAGTGATGAAAATAGATTTTGAGGTAATCTTTAGATTTTTTTTTTATAAAAAAATTATGATAAAATTTAGAGGTACGCCATAATTGGGTTGCAACCTTATGGAAACCACACCCTTTATATTATCTTGTGCGCTCTTTTTCTTCTTATATTATGCAACTTTCAAGACATATTCCTTGCGTTACAACTTAGAGAGAGAGGGAAAAGATAAAGAGAGAGAGAGATAAAGAGAAATTCTTTATGAGGTTAAACTGTTAAAGAGAGAGACAAAAAAGACGTTTGCGTGAAGTTGGGGATGGTGCAAAGACGGAGAAGTCGCATCATAAGAAAAAATGGAATGGATGACAAAAAGTAAGACTTCATCTCCTATTTATACAAAAAGCCAAAGCCAAAGCCAATGGCTATGAAAAGCAAGACCTCCAAAGCTGTCAAAGTCTTTCACCAAATGACGATGAGACCCTCTAGCGGTGGGACAAAGATAAGAAATTGATGAACCATTTTCGATCTGAGCCATCGATTTAGATAAGAAATTGATGAGGACCGAATTAGTTCTCAAATGGGATGGGTCCTAGCTTGACTCTGTCCTTAAAGCTTATTTTTTTCCTCTTTTTTTTCTTTTTTTAACTTTATCCAATGATTGTATGGTCCCATTTAAATCCACACCCCATAAACCTCTATTTTGATTTTTATTTTACTTTATTTATTTTTTAAGTTTTTGAAAAACAAGACTTCTAAAGCAACTCCAGCTGTCAAAGTCTGTCACCAAATGATGATGGGAGCCTCTAAGAAAGAGAGATAGATGATTAACTTAAAAGAGAGAGAGAGAGGAGATATTTGGTGTAAGTAGTGGCCGTTCGTTTAAATAATAGAAAAATAAAAAATATTACTACTCTTCAATTAAATTCATTGTCCACGAAAAAGTTCATGCTATTTTTACACATTATCGCTAACATTTTCTTACTCTTTTTATACGGAATCCATTTTCAGTGCCAAATTCCACGGTCCAAAGACTACCGCATGAAACGTTAAAGACTTGCCCAATTCCATTGGAGTTTCACTCGGTGGCAAATATTCGATGGGGCCGGCCACCTCCTACTTGAGAGAGAGTGATTCTGTGGTCCACACTTCCTCCACCAAAACTCTATAAATGTCAAACCCAATCTCAAGCAATTACTCAAGCAAATTGAGTGAAGTTTTGCATACCATGAAAATGGGAATGGTGGTGAGATCTCCATCTTTTTTCTTCTTCCTCCCCTTCATTTTAGGTCTTTCGATTCAATCCTCTGGTTTGTCAACGGTTGATTTAGAAGCTGAAGCATTGCTGAACTGGAAAACTAGTCTGAAAAATCACGCTTTGGTTTCATGGTTTCTTAAAACCAGCAACTCCACCAGCCATTGCAATTGGATTGGTATCAAATGAATGGTCTAAATATATGAAAATCTTGAAAATGAATGGTCTAAATTTTTTTTACTATTCCGATCTAAATTTTACATCCGGATCCAAATTTCATATCCAAATCTAAAATCCATACCTGAATCCAAATAGGATCTGAAATTTAAGTTTCGGATCCAGGTCGAGTAAATTCACAGCCTACATTGGAGAGGGTGATAATGTGGTGTGGCCCAACTAAAGCATTGAGAGCTCAAGTATAGTTCACAAGGAGCAATGGGAATGTACATTTCCTATGTTGCTACGTGTTTTTTTATTGAAGCGAGATATAGAGAGAGAGAGAGAGAGATTTATGAACCCATTTGGCTGGTGGGGTGTTCGCTAGTGGGTCGCTCGTTGAAATTTTTGGATAAAATATAACCCTACGGAAATATAAGGGTGAAGTGCTCGTCGTAATTTTTGGGTAAAATAAAACCCTACGGAAATATAAGGGTGAAGTGCTCGTTGTAATTTTTGGATAAAATAAAACCCTACGGAAATATAAGGGTGAAGTGCTCGTTGTAATTTTTGGATAAAATATAACCCTACAGAAATATAAGGGTGAAGTGCTCGTTGTAATTTTTGGATAAAATATAACCCTACAGAAATATAAGGATGAAGTGCTCGTTGTAATTTTTGGATAAAATATAACCCTACGGAAATATAAGGGTGAAGTGCTCATTGTAATTTTTGGGTAGAACATAACCGTACAGTAATGTAGGGCTGAGTAAGATATAACCCTACGGTAATATAAGAGTTAAAAAAATTTCCGTATGTACTTTTTTTAAAAAAAATAGAGTGCATTTTTTTTATTTAATTTTTAATAATTATCACGTGCAGAGAAAGTAGAAGTTCTAGAGTGAATAAATAATATCCAAAATGTAAAATATATACATGGCTTATTAGGCATTTTCTTACGAAGAGAGAGATGATTAGAGTTTGCAAGAGAGTGGCATGGGTTTACAGGAGAGAGATGATTTGGGATGAAAACTATTGTTGGCAAATAATTATTTAGTTTGAAGATTTTTTTCAAAAAATTGAGTGAAAATGGGGGTAAATGAAGATTTTTTTCAACCACCAATTTAGACATCAATTATTGAAAATCATTGGAGATACCCATTTTGTTGAAAAAAGTTATGGAAATTTATTTTCAAGGACTTGAGCAGTCTTAAGGGGAAACTTTCATACGTCCGGTGGCGAATTTCTACATTGTTTTGCTTTGGGGGCTAGTGCATTCATTTGGTCTCAAACTCGCTATAATTTTCCTCTGGGCCTCAATGAAAAAAAACAAAAAAAAGATAGAAAATGGCTTTTTAAATTAGACAAATGTCATTTCATTAGCAGTTCGATCAATTATTAAAGAATTAAAAATTAATTATGTTTACTTCATGATGTGGTGCAACAACCTTATTGTAGGGTTGTATAATAGTATGATGTAATTTTTTCTAACTTTTTTATTAATGAACAAAGGGTAGAGGGCCTTTTCCCTCACTAATTTACCCAAAAAAAAATTATTTTACTTTTTAAACTATCCCTTGGTTATAAGATGCAATATACAAAATTTCCCGTAAACTTTGGATATAAAGCCATCATTTGCACCCCCATATTTTCTCATTCTTTTATCTGCAAATTGCCACACCATTTCTGGTTCAACTTTCACCTTTCAATCACCCCATTTTTCTAAGACATTATGAAAATCCATTGACACTTCATCTCTGGTGCATGATAAGTTCATAGAGAGAGAGAGAGAGGAGAATGGGCATACTTCCCTTTAAACTTTTGACCCATCTCTGCAACTAATTATATTAGGCTCAAGTCCCTGTTTCTAATACCATCAACCTTAGAAGGGTACATAATGGAGGCCTTTAATTCATCATCATCACTATCAATCCTTGCTCTTTGCTCCTTTCTCATATCCTTTTTAGTTTGTACATCAGAGGCTCAAACACTTGACCCCAAAGAAGGTATGCATTAAAACTAGCTCTATGAGTGATAAAGAAGTGATGGGGGAGATAACCATGAATAGAACTTAAAAGAATATTTTAGTTTGATTTATAAGAATGAAGATTGTAATTCCTGTACTTTTTCTCTTTTGACACCCACTAACATAGATATATTGGTTTGAATTCATTTCCAGAGAGAATTGTGCTTCTGTTTTCTGCTTTTGGGTGATGAAATGACTGGTTACCTGACTTGTATCTTTGAATAAGAAGTTTTCATGGCCTAACGTAACTGCTAGAGAGAGTAACAGCATTCTTGTTTTCATGGTTTTGGGTCTGGAGAAATTTATCTGACTTCAATCTTTGGATAAACAGTTATGGCTCTGAGATCCATTTCCGAGAAATGGGGTCTTTCTTCTTCAGTTAGCTGGAATATCAGTGGTGAACCTTGCAGTGGAACAGCCATTGATAATTCAAAGATTGAGGACCCAAACAATAACCCCGCGATTAAATGCGACTGCAGGGCCAACAATGGAACTACTTGCCATATTAAAGAGATGTAATACTATATCCTTTTTCCATGAGTCCAGTTTTATTCTGAGCTTCTCTCACTGGAATCTGGTTTTATCCTAAGCTTCTTTCTCAAGGATCTAGTTTTTTTGGTGTTTTGAGCTTCGAGCTTCATACATAGATTGTTCTATGCAGGAAAGTTTATTCATTGAGTGTAAGTGGAAGCATTCCAGAAGAGATCGCAAATCTGTCTTTCCTCACAAACTTGTATGCTCTTTATGCTTATCCGAAATGGGTTTGAGGAATTGGAGTGTGTGATGTGATTACCTGATTCTTATTGCCACATCAAACTTTTGTTGTGGTACTTTCGTCAGTGTGATCTTCAGATTTTTCCAACTGATCATGAAGTCTAATTGAGAATTAAGTGATATGTACGACATGGAAACTGCTACATTCTCATTTAATGCTATCAATTTGTTAATAGTTCATCTTTCTTATGATATGAATATGTTCATGTCCATTAAATTAATTAGATTTATCACGGTTTATGTTATATTCTACTGTCCTGATCTCTCTCTCTCTCTCTCTCTCTCACACACACACACACACACACGCACAAATACACAGGAACCTGGCTGAAAACCATCTAACAGGCCCTTTACCAGCATTTATTGGAAATCTTACTTCTATGCAGTACTTGTGAGTATTAATTTGTGATAAGCTTTGATTCAAGGCTAAGTTCTCTAGTTTTTAGTTGTTACACGTATTAAATATGCTGTTTCCAATTTTTCTATTCCATGCTTTGGAGGACACTAGGAGCTTTGCCGCCAACATGCTCTCTGGAACAATCCCAAAGGAGCTTGGAAACCTTCGAGATCTACTCTCGCTGTACTATATCTCTCATCTTCAGTTTCTAGTCCTTATTTCTTTCCTCGTTTGTTTATAGATTTTGAAATTATCTATTCCAAGGTGTCTCTCATTTCATTGAAATTGCAATGACTACATTATTAAACAGAAGAGGGAATATGGGTGTTTCTTAAGACTTTGCTTTGATGAAGAAATATTTCACTCATGTGCAGTGAGGCTCATTCACAAATCTAATTTTTCCATTTTCAATTATCAGGAGATTTAGTTCAAACAACTTCTCAGGTGTGCTACCTCCTGACCTTGGTAACTTGGTAAAACTAGAACAAATGTAAGTGTTCATGAATGTGATGTGTGTTACTCACCCCAAAAAAAAAAGAATATGATGTGTGTTTTTGTTTAATATGAAAACCATTTTTTTTTTTCAACTTGTCCCTCTCAAATGTATTAACCGTGTTTATGTGGCAGTTACATTGATAGTGCAGGTGTGAGTGGTGAGATTCCTTCAACATTGTCCAAACTACAAAATCTAAAATATGTGTAAGATTTTTTTATTCTTTCCATCAATTTTCTATCGTGAATGCTATCCGTTGTTGCATATGGGAAGTTCCTCACCTTGATAATTGTTGTGGTTTTAGTTGGGCATCAGACAATGGGTTCCCAGGAAAGATACCTGACTTCATTGGGAATTGGACAAATCTCCAAACATTGTAATCCTATACCTTTGTTTATATATTTCTGATAAGATTGTTCTTTCCAAACCATCTGCTAAGTTTTTTCTTTTCAAACCTTCTAAGCATCAATATTTGTTGGTGTAGGAAGCTTCAGGGAAACTCTTTTGAAGGCCCAATTCCTTCAAGTTTTGCCAATCTAACATCATTAATGGATCTGTGAGTATTTCTATATAGTTTACGTTGCAATTTCAGTTCCCTTCGACATTGCTCAAGGAAATTGGTTCTTTATTGATCGTTATTTGTATTTCTTCAGGAGAATAAGTGAGTTATCTAATGGGAGCTCATCCTTGGATTTCATTAAGAATATGAAGAATTTAACAATCTTGTAAGCTAGAACAGTGTCATTAGCTCGTGTATTATTACCTAAAGTCTTGATATATATTTCTAAAGTTGTTTCAATGCATTTCTTGTCTACTGCAGGGTATTGAGGAATAATATGATCTCTGGTAATATTTCATCTGAAATTGTGGACTTTGCACAGTTGCGTCACTTGTAAGTTGGACGCTAATTTGGTGCTCACTTGCTTGATAATTTCTTAGTGTTCAGTTCAAACATTTATTCCTGAATTAATAATCCATCATGGATTGACTTTGGGTTGTCAACCTATTTCTTATTTCCTTGAGGGACAAAATCCTTAGCCCAATACCTATATTTAATAGTAACAGCCTGGTAAAAGTCAGAGGAGCTTGTTCAAAGTGGGAGCTTGTCCCCAAGGGTGAATCTTTAAATCTTTTACTGTTCCAAAAATTCAAACAGAATATCATGAATGCACTAGAAATACTAAACAGCATCACAGAATACCAAAATGGATTTTAGGAAACAAGAAATCCTTTGAAATAAGCTTCGTGGCCCTTTGTTGGACCTCTCATAAATGTAGATTCACAGACTTGATACTAAACAGCATCACATAATACCAAAATGGATTTTAGGAAACAAGAAATCCTTTGAATTAAGCTTCATGGCCCTTTGTTGGACCACTCATAAATGTAGATTCACAGACTTGCCTCAGCATATCCTATCCTTGTCGCTTAAGAGTTTAGGATTTCAAGCATAAATGTTATGTAAAATTGTGGTTATTTATTGCATATATGGTTTTCACTTTGTTAGAAATAATTAGATGCTAAAATAATTGTAGGGAGCAAACTTATTGGAAAATTTTCTCCATTAAAATATTGGAAATTTTCTTGTCATTGTTCTACTAAAAGTTTTGCTCCATTGAAATATTGGAATTTTTTTTGTTATTGTTCTACTAATAAGTTTAATTTGTTCTCAGGGATTTGAGCTTCAATAACTTGACTGGTGATATTCCAAGCTCTCTCTTTAATACGAGCGCCTTTCCGTCTTGTAAGGCAACCAAAATATTTTATCTAAATATCTGTGAAGTACATACTATATCATTGAGTTTGGTTTAATTGCATCATTCCTTTTTTATGTCTAACTTGGCAGGTTTTTAGGGAACAATAACCTATCTGGAAGTCTACCTCAACAAAAAAGCTCATCCCTATCAACTATGTATAAACTCTTAAACCATTTTGGCCCCCTTTTCTCTTTCACTTTTATCTTTCCCCAGCTGTTGTTTTTCCTCAGAATAAATCCTGTTGGAATTTTAAAAGTTGGCAACTTTCAACGTAGCATTAGTCAGTTAACCTTTAAGGGATCCAGTTCATGTAGGTCTTCAGTTCCATTGGAATGGGCGGTGATGGAAAATAGGCCCAACATTTTTGATGAGTCTCATTGTCTTCCATCACACGCCATTTCAATGGATGACGATCTGTTTCTAATGGTGTATTGCTTCCATTGCATGCACACAACATGCAGATACCTCTCAAATTATTTCTTTCTTTATGAGAGTATTATTTCCTTGGAAGCTGCAACAACTAAAATATACACAAAGGCTAATCTATACGGGTGACAACTGGGTACAATATTTATAAATAAATATTAAGCTCATGAGGGATTTCCTGTACTCGGGCAGGATGAAGTTATGAAGAGAACCCTCTTCAATTAATTTCTTAACTTTATAGTAAGAAAAATGAGATAACGTAAGGATCAGAATTTGCAGTTCATAATCAACACCTTCATGCCATTGAAATAGCTTCGTTAAGTTAGTGTTGGGCTTCCAAAATACCAATAGTCCTAGGATGCTATTCAACAATGGACTCTTAACCTTCCAAAATATCCAAACTTTGAGTTGATGCTTGCAGTTTCGGGTCACCAACATAGTTAGAGAGTTTGTACAAGGGTAAGTTGTATCTTTCTCATTGACACCTCTTATGAGGTCTTCCTTTAATAAGGATCTTGAATTGATTACGGGGGGAAGTTCTATGCATATAATTAAATATCTGTTATTAGAGAAGATTCCAATTTCATATGGTATTTACATACACACATATTTACTTCTCTTATTCTTTTTGATATTTATTTTATGCTGCAAATTTTTTACCATTTATACACATGTTGGACATCGAAACCCATGTTGCTCTGCATGGAACACTGGCATGAATTATCCCAGCTTTTTCCTAGTCCATATTTTTTTCACAACGCTGCTATTTTCATGGAAGTGTGATTCTCACAAGTGTTTATTTCTTTCTATTATGAATCCATGTGGAGAATTTTATGGCCTTAATGGATCCTGTCTTTTGTGCAATGCTATATACTTATTCTCCATTGTCTTCTATCTGTGCAGAGATTTATCTTACAATCAATTAGCCGGAAGTTTTCCTTTGTGGATGAACAGTCAAAATTTACAAATGTAGGTCAGAAAGGAGAACCAACTCTAATTTATCTTCATTACCTAGTTTAATTTATGGTGACACTGAATTTTTCTAACGGAGATTCTAGCTATTGTGGATTTATCTGAATTTGCTTGAATGTATGTTTTACATTTATATTCTGTTTTTATACATTCTTTTCTACTATTAGTCTATTCTTTTATGCTAGTAATTTAGTGATCTCATGTCTGCCTTTGCAGGAATTTGGTTGGGAACTCCTTTGTAATTGGAAATTCTAACAACAGGTACTTGTTGCTTAGTTTTTAATATATCACTAGAAAAGAAAGAGATTCTTTAAGAAGCTTAATAAAATCATAACAAGCAAAATAACAAGTAATTGTCAAGAATCAAGATATAGTTATGAGCTGAATACAAGTTTCTATTGAAGAAGTCATTGCAAGTATAATAGGTGTACAGTTCCCCAAAAGAAGGAACAAATAAATTATATATGCTACCACATTTGTTCATCCATTGTTAATGACACTAGTATTCTGTTTCAGTGTTACACCAATAGGGTTGGATTGTCTTCAGCGGACTTTCCCATGTAATCGAAATAATCCACGCTGTAAGTTACATTTCTTTCCTTTTCTTTACATCATTGTCTATTGTGGTAAAAATTCATTATGAGAAACTTTCTACTCTAAATCTAGTAAAGTCGAATAGGTCTTGTCTTGTGTAGGCCCGTCATCATCTTCATCAGAGCTGTTTCCCAACTATTTTGGGTTGGCTACACGAATCCTAATCCGTCATTTTGCTGTATCAAGGATTATACTCTCAAGGAGGCCATAAGTCACTAAATCTTTTCTCACTACTTCCAATCGTATCTTTTTGGGCTTACCCCTTACCTTTTTTTAGTCTTCTACTTTTTCTCATCTTATCGCCTATTGGTGCCATACCTATGTTCTCCCGAATGTATTATTTCAAATTTTTTCTTTCTTGTCCTGCTACTCATCCATCTCAATATTCTCATCTCAGCTACACTCATCCTATGGATATGTTATTTCTTGACCTTCCAGTATTCGACTCCATAAAGCAAAGCTGGTCTCACAGCTATCTTATAGAACTTGCCCTTCAGCTTTATTCGTATGCGGCGATCACATAAAACTCAGGTTGCACATCTTCAATTTCGTCCACCCAGCTCTAATTCTATATGCGGTATCTTCCTTGATCACTCTTTTTTCTTGTATTATCGACCCAAGATATCGAAAGTTCACTTTTTTTGATATTTCTTGGCCGCTGAACTTAACTACTTCTTCGTCCCTACTCCTATTATTACTAAATTTGTATTCTATATACTTTGTCTTTGTTCGGCTAATTTTAAAACCTTTAGATTCTAGAAGAGTGAGGACCTTAAATTTTCCCTTAACCCATCCCAAGCCCAGCTAAAGGAAGTAGGTTATGTTAGTTTGACTGCAAATGTAAAATTTTGTCAAAACTTTCTGTCCATGAATCCTAATGTAGCCCATGGAAGCTGAAAGGTGCTGATGTGGCATGTGTCTATACAATAAAATAAGTACAAAATTAAAAGAATATATGTGCAATTAAGATGAGGGAAACTAAACTTAGGTGGCTTGGTCATGTGCATCATTGGCTTAGAACAATATCGGTTAGGAGGAGCGATTCAGTGCAAGTGGAAGACCCAAAGGACATGGATGGAAGTAGTGAGAAGAGATATGATAACTTATTGTCTGACTGAGGGTATAGCCCTTGATAAAGTGGAATGGTGGAACATGATTTGTGTAACTAACCCTAAATAGTTGGGATAAGGCTCAGATAATGATGATGATATTTGCAATTCATCAATAACTAATATTTAACTTAGCAAAACTATATAGTTAGAATATTAACTATGTAAAAAAATTTCATAATGTTGTATAATATATTTTTATAAATGTGATATACGTATGGAGTTTATATACTTACATGTATTATATATATCACAAACATTTATTTATTTTATGTAACACATTAAATATAAGAGATGCATATACAACAAGATGTTGGAAACAAACATTAAAATGGACACTCAAATCAATCTTATACTAAAATATATATAATATTAATGAGTATCTTGAGGTGTTGAACGTGTGTCATATATGTATTAAACACCAATATGGTGAGCCAAATGATTTGCTTGGATAACACTGACTCAGGTCATAAAATACATGAAATATGTTATGAAAAATGCACATAATCTTGTGCCGAAAGGTGCATTCGAATGTTCTCATGAAATCAGACCTTCTTCCTCCTTTTGGAGATGACAATTTGGGTTGTGATTCAATCATTAATTTATCTATCGTATGTATCTTAGTTCCTACATGTGCATGTCTCTATTACATGAGTACCAGACTTGGCCATGCCACACCCATGGTTTTCTAAAGTCCATTAGACTATAATTATTTCCCACACCCATGGTTTTCTAAAGTCCATTAGACTATAATTATTTCCATTTTAATTTTCGTATCTTTCTCTGTTTCTCTGCTAATTGTTTCATTGTGTTGACTTTCAGATTCCTACTTTGCAATAAACAGCGGTGGCAAGCAGATAACATCAGCTGATGGAACTGTGTTTGAGCAAGATGATGCTAATATTGGCATGGCTTCTTACTTTGTAGCTGAATCACAGAGGTGGGCTGTCAGCAATGCTGGGAGGTTCGTTGACAGTAGTAGCGCCCAGTATATCCAAACAAATAAATCCCAATTCACGAACACATTGGATCCAGAGCTCTTCCAAACAATGAGGTTATCTCCGGGCTCCTTAAGATACTACGGTCTTGGGCTTCAAAATGGAAATTACACTGTGAAATTGCAATTTTCCGAGATAGAATACCCCAGTCCACCTGACTGGCACAGTACCGGAAGGCGCGTTTTCAATGTCTATGCTCAAGTATGAATTTGGTTTATTTTTACAATAGTCGGATAATATGACATTTCCAACTATTACTCTGCCTTTTCATGTCTTTCTTTACGTCCAGAAAATTGTCTCAAGAGTTTTGGTTATGCTGAATAATTTTTAGAGACTTAATCCGGATATGTTGTTCTTTCAACTGATCAATATCACTTATATAGGGAAACGATTGTGTTGCTGGTTGTTTGGTCTTGGCTATGATCAATTTTATCCTTTGGTAATGTAGGGGAAATTGAAATTGAAGGATTTTGATGTCAGAAAGGAAGCAGGGGGTAATTCATTTGTAGCTGTTACAAGAGAGTTTAATGCAAGCGTGACTGAAAATTTCCTTGAGATCCAGTTTTCCTGGGCTGGGAAGGGTACTTGCTGCATACCCAATCAAGGAACCTATGGACCCTTGATTTCAGCTATTAGTGCTTCTCCAGCAGGTAATGAAAATTAAGATGAAATGAGGTATATCCTGATTATCAAGTATTTGAACAATTTTTAGGACTTAAATCTTGACTGTTCATATCCTGTTCAGATTTTTTGCCCACCGTTAGCAACACACCACCCAGTACTTCCCAAAAAAAGAACAAAACTGGTTTGATTGTTGGGATTGTAGTTTCTTCTGGAGTTGTATGTCTTGTAGCATTTGGAGCAATTTTTGTTCTCAAACAAAGAAAGAAAAGAGGGCTATCTGATGAAGGTAATACTGGAAGATTCTAACTCTTGTTTCTCTACACACACAAGGGAGCGGCGGGGCAGGGGGGGAGGGGTGTGAGAGAGAGAGGGAGAGAGACTGAAACTGAACTATATGCTTGAACTTATTTTCTTTCTCATGGTGTAGAGTTCCTGGTAATGGGAACCAGACGAAACACTTTTAGTTACTCTGTACTGAAGGCTGCAACTGAGGACTTTAATGCTAAGAATAAGCTTGGAGATGGAGGATTTGGGGCTGTTTACAAGGTAAATTTTCGATGCTGTTACACTTTTATGGATATTTTTGTCCACATATATTAGTTTGTTAGCACTCATGTGTACTTTTATTGTTTTTTATTATTATAGCACACTCTTTTTCCTCTTGGGATACATTTGTTTGTATGTTAATAGGGAAATATTGTTTGTATATGCAATACGAAATGAAGCACGCATTTTCTACTGAATTGTAAATGAAGGGCACGCTTTTGGATGGAACAATAGTGGCAGTGAAGCAACTCTCAGTAACTTCTCACCAGGGAAAGGATCAATTTGTCACAGAGATTGCGACAATATCTGCAGTGCAACACCGTAACCTTGTGAGGCTGTATGGGTGCTGCGTCGAGGGGGATCAGCGACTTTTGGTATATGAGTATCTTGAAAACAAGAGCCTTGATCAGGCACTATTTGGTAACTGAGCATCTCTCTCTCTCTCTCTCTCTCTCACACACACACACACACACACACACACCCCTCCACCAGAAGCACACACACACATTTATATTCTCCATATTGTCTCTTGTTTTGTGGGAATTGTCACAAGCCTTTTATTACCCAAATTACTGCTGTTACCATTACTCTTTTTTTGGTTGATCAATACTGCTACTACATCCATTTTTGCTCTCTAGTCGAAAACATTTATCTTTTTCTTTCAAAATATGAGAGAGACAATGCACGATACTATGTTCACTTGGCCTGTTTCAAATTTTCTATACTTTGTTTCAGCATTCTTGTGCGTAAGGATCTGCAAATAACTCTTTAATAAGAATTCAACATTAACTGGCAAGAGAAGGAAAATATAAAACTCCATCAGGGGAAATCAGTAGAATAAACGAGAAAACATGAATATGTTCTTGACAAAGGCAACTTTAGCCGTTCTGATGTGTTGGAAATAACCAAGTGTTTCTACGATTTCCTATGAATGGCCTGGATAACTCTGGTTACCATACTATAAAGGGTGAGGTTTCTGAGCATGAGTGATGCACTTCTCTATGTGCGCACCCCCTGCCCCCAGACAAAAAAAAAAGGAAAAGAAAAAAACCCAAAATCATCATAGAGATGGATTTTGGATCCAGATTTTCAGGTTTGATAATCTCGACCATGGAGATCATGAATATGGAACAAAATAAAATTTAAAATTAAAATTGGTTTTTTTTTATTTTTTTGAAGTTTCTTTTTGCACCATTCATTTTATTGCTCATCAGGTTTGCACTGTTTTTGGAGCTGAAAAAAGATGAATCTGTGGAAGAACTGTACTTCCAGTGATTTAAGATGTGTCTCATGAATCTGCACAGGAGACTTTTCCTAAATTAGAATAACCACAAACAGTAACCTTGATCTTTTGGATATGTCGTTCCATATGCATAATGCAACCATTACCTCTCCATTGCACCATTATTATTGACTTATACTGACAGAAAACAAATGGACTAACCACAGATATAAAGAGAAGGAAAAGAAAAAACAGTGGAAGAACAAAAATCATTTTAGATGACTAGACAAAAGATTTTGAAGGTTCCATGAATGATCTTTCTTGCAGGGAAAAATGTCCTACATCTTGATTGGCCTACTCGTTACGAGATTTGCATGGGAACTGCTAGAGGATTGGCTTATCTTCATGAAGAGTCTAGGCCAAGAATTGTACACAGAGATGTGAAAGCTAGCAACATTCTTCTTGATGTTGATCTCAACCCCAAAATCTCAGATTTCGGTTTGGCCAAGCTTTACGATGATAATAAGACACATATCAGCACTAGAGTTGCTGGGACAATGTGAGGTTCCTTATCCTTCCATTCAATCATCTTTGTATTGTAATGGACACTCAAGAATAGTAGCAACTGATACCGAGTTGCTGGTTGGAATTCTGTTGGCAGTGGTTACTTGGCCCCAGAATATGCAATGCGTGGGCATTTGACAGAGAAAGCTGACGTGTTTGGATTGGAGTTGTGGTTCTTGAGGTACTTAGTGGAAGGTCAAATACGGATGCCAGTTTAGATCAAGAGATGATTTATCTCCTAGAGTGGGTAAGATTACTGAGTATATATTCAAGATTTTGAATTAGCTAACCCAAACTAAGAAGTCATTCCAAGAATATGACACACACATACACACATATTGATAGATAGATATTTTCACTTTTAGAATCTCCCTTTATCTGATATCTGTTTCATATTTCCATAGATATTTTCACTTCTAGAATCCCCCTTTATCTGATATCTGTTTCATATTTCACCACCTTTTCATGTTAAATAATATCTATTTTTCTGAGAATTTTGAAGCATACTCTCTCTCTCTCTTTCAAATATTGGTTTGTGAAAGTCTATATACTCTGCGATCTAAAACAAGTTTCATCACTTTGCAGGCTTGGCAACTCCTCGAGGACAACCGGGAGTTAGATCTGGTGGATCAGAGGTTAACCGGACTTAACGAAGAACAAGTGATCCGACTTATAGGTGTGGCCCTCCTTTGCACGCAAGCTTCCCCTACTCAGCGCCCATCAATGTCTCGTGTGGTGGCCATGTTAACTGGAGATGTAGAAGTGACCAGAGTTACATCAAGGCCTCGATATTTAACTGATTGGCACATTGATGATATTAATAGCTCCATTGGCGAGGATATCACTTCTTCTTGAGCCTCCACCACAAGGGCCACTAATACACAGAGTGATATGTCTTTCTCTCACAGTAGAGTCACTAATACAGTGAACTCGCCAACAAATGCTAGTCGGCCAATACTGCAACAGGGTTTTGGTGAAGGCAGGTGATGGTTGTGCTGAAGATTTGTATGGGATCTAAGGGATGAAGAACTTTGGGCACTATGGTTTTAATTTTGGGCACTATGGTTTTAAATAGGAGAGGTGAGGACTTTCACCTTAGAAAACTGTTGTATAAGCTCTCTCAATACACATATCTCTTTTTAGTCGAAATGCAGTGAGTTTTTTCTCTTTTTAGCCAAATTTTATCGAAAGTTTCATTCAAACACTCAAATATTTGTAAAAATGAAATGAAATAATTACTTCTGTTTATTATCATGAATTTTAGGCGTGATAAATTTTTTACACAAGAGACCTCATTATTTTGAAAAATAATCTTTTTAATAAAATTGTGATATTTTTATCTATGTTAGAAATTTTAAACGCTGTAAATTCTTAGAAATAATTTTATTTAATTTTCTTGTCTATTGTTAGAAAATTTTAGATACTGTAAAATTATTAGAAATAAATGTGATATTTCTGCTTTTAGTAAATTTGTGAGATTCCTTGCTACTGTTTTTGAATATTTAGACATTGCAAATTTTATATGCAAATGACTGCCTTATTATTTGAAAACTGATATTTTTGCAATTGATTATAGCATTGTCTGTGAAATGTTTATTTGTGAATTGACATCCCATAAATTGTGATAATTCCGTATTCTTGAATTTCTATAAGAGTTTTTCTATACATAATAGATTCACAATTATGCTATAATGTCTTTACGAACTGCTACCTTTCTAAATTTGAGCCCAAAATATTTGACTAGTTATGTTTAAAATATTATTGAAAGTGACTGTTATTAATGGTTTCAGTGAAATTCATATTAATAATTTCAGTGATATGTTGAGTACATGATATTGCTCCTTTCGAATGTTTAAAGAGATTTATAAATACTTTAAGTATGCAAGTGGATTCATCCGATTAGCCAGTGAAGTATAAGTGGACCTATCGGGTACGTCGGTAGGGATTAAGTGGACTCATCCGGTACGCCGGTGAGGTATAAGTGGATCTGCAGGGATTAAGTGGACCTATCTGGGATGCCGATAGGGATTAAGTGGACCCATCAAGACGCTGATGGGGTATATAGGTGTTATATGCATTTCAATTATTCGGATTATACTTAATTATGCATTTTTTAAAGTGAAACTGTTAAAGCATTTATGTTAATAGATCACCTTTTTGAAAATATTGATATCTTTCGACCATGATTATTTTTAGGATTATGAGGATCACTTACTGAGTAGCCAAACTCATCAAATTATGGTAAAAATTTTTTTCAGAATAACTGCGGTTTCATTTCGAGTGCTGGTCAGGATCAACTCTGAAAGATATTGTAGTTGTGCTTAAACTTTCTTTTGTTACTTTGTAAGAATTGGCCATTGTAAATTTATCCTAAAAAGAAATGTATATATGTTTTGACTCACATCTCAGAAATATCAGTATTGTAAATTCTTGGGACGTGACAAAATGGGATCCAAAAAGGTGAGGAGTTTTGGATTTTACGGTTTTATTTTTTTAACTATTTCTATTTGTTTTTGGATAATCTTTTGTATATCCATTCGTTGCGCTGTACAATAGTATTCTTTCTGTTACTCTTTTTCTTCCTTTTTATTGAACTCAACCCCAACTTTATATCTAAGAAAGCTGTATTTCATCTATAATGTCATTTAACATCTCTGCGAGTTCACATGAAACTATTGCTCATAAATTTAAGAATGTATCTTCTTCTTCTGTCGGTTGCTATATAGTATGCGTCTTAATTTTGTAAAGTTGTATTTTTGTTAATTGCTAACAAAACCAGGTTAATTGACTTACATTAATAACCTGTCATATCCTGTAACACTTGATTCTTTCAACTTAAAAACCCTTGACAGACAGCTAATAATTGTTTGTTTCCGGGAAGCAAAACATGTGTTCTCATTTGGTAACAGATTTTTCCGCAATGCCATGTGAAATTGCTGGTTTGTGTTTTATCTCACCCTTCCTCCATGCTTCAAGAAAATGCATGTAAATCCTATGCTGATCGCTGTTCTTGAATTCATGCCATTTACCTATGATGACATGGGGAAAGAGCAGTAACTTAACATTAACTTTGACACAAAATCCCAAGCATATTTTCCATTCAATTTCATGTCGATCCTCGAATATGGTGGTGACAAAAAACACCACCAACATTTGATGCATGAAATTCAAGCATTTCACTACATTAACACTATGCAGAGCCTGGCAATTCACTGAGGAGCCAAGCACCAGAATAGCCCAGTGTGAGCCCATCCAAGGGCTAGCACGTAGGGTCAGTCCCATGCCGGGTGGTTCTTAACATGCCCACGCCAGGACAAATATAAGTCCATCTAATATAAGCCCATGCCGGGCGGATCAAGCATTTCACTACATGAAAATATTTTTAACAAGTAATGTATTTCAAGGGGAAATACAATTATGCTATAACATCATTTTTTTAGATTAAAAAAAACAGTGCAAATCCAAAGACCTATATAAAAGTTAAGGGTGTGGTTTCTATAAGGTTGCAACCTTAAACCATCCAATTAAGGTGGTCTCCAAATTTTATCATAGTCAAAATCGTAGGTTATCTAAAGGAAAAAGTTTATATTAGGTTGCAATCTTAAAATGTAGAATTACAGATGCACCTCAAAAATCTATCGAACGAGGTTGTTTTAATGTTGAAAATTGATCATTTCATTTAATGTTGAAAAACCCTCTATTTGATCATTTCAACATCGAGATGTATGAATATGAAAGATAAAAGATTTGAGTTCCAGAAATAGAGCATCTCGCAACACATTATCTAGACTGTCAATTTTCAAGATTTTCATATGTTTATAGATGTACTTGATTTTAACTATTTTTGGAGTTTAAAATATTATAATTAGATATTGAAATAGATTTTGAGATAATCTTAAGAAATTTTTATACCAAAATTACATGTTATGATAAAATTTGGCGGTGCACCTTATTTGGATTGTTTAAGGTTGCAACCTTATAGAAACGGCACCCCTATCTAAAAACCTATTTTTATATCTAATTATGAAATTTTAAATTAAAAAAATGATTAAAATCAAGTAGATCTATAAATATATGAAAATCTTGAAAATGGACGGTCTCGATAATATGTTGCAAGGTGCACTGTTTTTGGGACTCAATTTTTTTTTTTTTTCATATTCATACGTCTCGATGTCGAGATGATCAATTAGAGAGTTTTTCAACATTAAAACAACCTTTTCTGATGGAGTTTGAGGTGCATTTGTAATTCTACATTTTAAGGTTGCAACCTTATATAAACTTTTTCCAAAAGTCAAATGAATGGGGCAAAAAAAGTTTTAAAAATTTTAAAATTTAAAATGTCATTTATTTTTCCATAATTGACCCCTAAACTCTTGGATCCAAAATCCATCTCCAAGATGCATTTCAGATGAGGGCGTATATAAAGAGGTGCATCTGCCGGCGCACCAAACGTTACCCCTTTTATAAACACTGCCCCAATCTCCCACAAACGCACCGAGTTCCCGCAATTTCCCTCTGGGGAAAGGGATCGAAAGCACAGGAAAATCTGGACCGTCCATGGATTCCAATCCAACGGCCAATATTGGATTCAACCACCTCACACGGATCGATCAATCGACCGTTGATTACAAAAACATATTCAACGATCTCCATTTCTTCCCTCCAATGCTTAGCTCAAGATTTAAACCCTCGCCAGGGAAGCGTATCATCACAAGCCTGTGTCCTGCATTCTAGTGAGAGAGAGGGACTTCTAGAGAGAGAAAGAGAGATGTCAGGAAGAGGAAAAGGCGGAAAGGGCCTGGGAAAGGGAGGAGCAAAGAGGCACAGGAAGGTATTGAGAGATAATATTCAGGGGATCACGAAGCCTGCAATTCGGCGCTTGGCTCGAAGGGGTGGAGTGAAGAGGATCAGCGGTTTGATCTATGAAGAAACCAGAGGGGTCTTGAAGATCTTCCTTGAAAATGTTATTCGTGATGCTGTAACCTACACGGAGCATGCCAGGCGGAAGACTGTGACTGCCATGGATGTGGTCTATGCTCTCAAGAGGCAGGGTAGGACCCTCTATGGTTTTGGGGGTTAAGATTCTAACCTTCAGAGAGCTTCC